CGCAGCCCCGGCTGCAGGTGCACGTACAGCGGCCCCGCCACCAGCCCCGCCGCCGCCGCCACCAGCCCCGCCGCCCGCCGGGGCAGCGCGGGCAGCGGCGCCGTCAGCACCAGCAGCCCCGAGGCGAAGGGCGGCATCGCCCCGCCGGAAGCGCCGCCGACCGGAACGGGGACGGGAACGGGACCGGAACAGCACCGCCTCCCGGGCAGCCCCGCCCGCGGGGGGAGGAGACCGGCAGGCCCGGCCGCAGGGCGGAACGAGCCCCCGCGGCGTGAGCAGGGACGGAGGCAGAGCCGTGCGGCTGCAAAGGGCTTTATTGGGGACACGGCGGGACCGAGCAGCGAGCGGGCCCGGCTCCGGGCTGGGGGTTCGCATGGCGGCGGTGCCGGTGTGGGCTCAGGGCCGGTCCCCGCCGGGCTCGCTGCCGCCGAACACGAAGTCGTGCATGGCGCGGACGTACGCGGAGCCGTCGGGGCTGCTCAGCCGCAGGCGCCAGAGCGGGGCGAGGAGCTGGGTGCTGGCGCAGCGGAGCGGTGGGCAGGGGCTGCCGATGGCCTCCAGGAACACCTGGCACCGCAGACGGGTCAGAGCCCTGCCTGGCACGGTCCCACGGCCACCCCCGCCCCGCGGCCACTGACCGGCAGGACCTCCTCCACCTCCTGGGCCGTGTCGCGGAAGATGCTCTGGCAGTGCCACAGGTACCGGCGGTACAGCCCCTGTGTCTCGGCGTCCAGGCCCCGCATCTCGCTGCCCTCAGGGTCGGGGCGCTGCAGGTTGGCCAGGAAGCTGGTGTGGACTGGCCCGCACTCCACCAGCGTCAGGCTGCGGGAGGGAGCGCATCAGCTGCCACCGCACCCCCGCCCTGGCATTCCCCCCGTCCTGCTGGGCAGGACCCAGCCCCCCTGGCACCACCGGCACTCACTGGATGTTGAAGGGGCGCAGGACGATGGCCAGACTCTCGCACAGCCCCTCCACTGCAAACTTGCTGGCACAGTACACAGCATTGAAGGGCAGCCCTGGGGCAAAGCCACATCCTGAGCACCAGAGCGCTTCCCCACGGCTCCCTGTGCCTCAGGGTGCTGGCATCCCACCTTGCAGCCCCCCGATGCTGCTGGAGACAATGATCCGCCCGGCCCTGCGGCTCTTCATGGCAGGCAGGAATGCCTGGATGGTGCGGACAGCCCCAAAGAGGTTCACATCGAAGAGAGTTTTCATGGCCTGGTCGGAGCAGGTCTCCAGTGGTCCCATCAGTCCCACCCCTGCATTGCAGACTGCCAGGCACGGTGCAGTCAGCCAGTGGCTGTGCACACCACCGAGTGCCACAAGGCAGAAATGGGGGGGCCTTTCCCAGCTGATGGGCCCTTGGCACCCCCAAATCCATCTACTGCACCTCTGCCCCGCTAAACACACCCTGTCCCAGCCCTAGGACTGCCTGCACCTCCCGTGATTTGGGCTGTGACCCCAGAGAGGTCCCCTCAGCACCCCAGGAAGAGCCTTACCCAGCACATCCAGCCGCTGTCCCTGCACCCGCTGTGCAGCAGCTGCCAGCGAGCCTGGATCAGTGACATCAAGCTGCAGCACCTCCAGCGTGTCGGGGCAGCAGCCCCCCAGGCGCTCCAGCAGCCGCTCACCCTTGGCCAGGTCGCGCATGGTGGCATAAACTGAGAGAGTGTGGCCATGGGCAGCGGTGCCACCAAGCTGCATGGCCAGCACCAACCCCAGCCCACCCCCAGGCTGTTTCTGGCTGTTTCTCCTTGGTGAGGCCCTGCCTGGCCCAGCCCTGAGACCACCCGGGGCTGCTGGATCCCCGGGGCAGCGTCGACCCCTTTACCTTTGAAGCGGCGAGTGGTGTCGGCTGCCAGGCGTGCAGCCAGCCCCAGGCCGATGCCTGAGGAGCAGCCTGTGATCAGCACCGTGGTTCTCTCCATGGCTGGCAGCTCTGGCCAGCGGGGCCACGCCATTTAAGAGGGCTGGGAAGGGGTCCCCCCGCCCCACACCATCGTGTTGTGTCTGCTGCCTTATCTCAAGGCCCTTCCACCCACCTCCCTGTGCATGCCTGGGGCTCCCTGTGCCTTGATCCTCGTGCAGGTGCTGTGATAAAGGCTCCACCGAGCCAGGACCTCCCTGCTGGAGGAGGCTGTGGGGCACACGGGGAGCTGCAGCCCCAGGGGTCTGCCCCAGCTGTACTCTGCTGTGCCAGGCACCCCGGCTGCCAGGACACGTCTGGCAGGGTGCTGTTCCTGCTCTGCAGGCTCAGGGCTGAGCTGCTTCTCTGCCCCCATGTTCCACACAGTCCTGTGCTAGCAAAAGCTGTTGGACACACATGGGAGAAAAGTCTGTATTTGCTCCATGGCTGGGCTCTGCCCAAGCCCCAGCTGTGGAAAAGGCCTCAAAAATTCCATCCTGGGGAACGCAGCCCCAGCAACACTGCAGGCAATGCTGCAAAGTCCTTCATGACACAAAAGGCACCAAATGTGGGCAGGGCCATGCAGTGCCATGTCCCCACAGGCACTGGGGTCCAATGCTGCCCACTGCCCACTGCCACCTCCCTGTCTGCTTCTCCCCCATCACTGCCCCTGCTAGCCAGCCAAGGCCCCACAGCAGGGACACATCTGTCCTGTCCCTCTGCAGTGTCCCACCAAGCTTCCAGCTGAGAGCACTGAGGCAGCCCAGCTTTCCTGGGAGCAGGCTCAGGGCAGCTAGGCAGAGCTAGGCACAAAGCATGGTGTGGGATGGGACCCTGGGGCACAGCCTGTCCCCCCATCCACCTGCCAGCCCCTTGTCCATGTGCCAGCCCTTCTTGGGGCACATCCTGCCCATGCAGATGAAGGGGTGGATCCAGGCTGGCTGAAGGCCACCAGGGCTCTGTGCCCCTCTTCCAGTACAGCCAGGACACAGCCATCAGGCCAGGAGCCCAGAGCGGGGAGCGTGCAGGGACTCTGTCCACCCTCTCTGGGGGAGGCTCCAAAGTCACGCAGGCCCAGCCAAGCTGCGCCGCAGGGCGCTGGGGTAGTATTTGAGAAACAGCTTCCTGGAGATCTCCATCGTATCCCCAGCTGGCACAGCTGGGTAGCGCTTCTTGTTGTAGATGAAGCCTCTCTCCACTTGGAAGACAGCCTGGTTGAACTGATCCTGGTGGAAGGGGCGGCCCGAGTTGAGGCTCTCCACCAGCACAGAGACAAAGAGGCTCCAGCGCACAGTGTAATAGTCCAGCACCAGCCCCCCCAGCTGCTTGTTGGCGTAGTCCAGAATGTTCCCGCTGGGCCCCCAGAGCGTCACCTGGTTGCGGGCATTCAGCTCATACTGCTCAGCCTCCCGGTCACTGGTGGCCATGGCACGGGCGCTCTCCAGCCAGCGGCCGAGGAGGAAGAGGCTGTGGCTGGACAGGAGGCTGTCCAGCTCTGGCAGCAGGTCGTACACCAGCACGCCACCGGCCGTCAGCAGCTCCGGCAGCGCGTGGCTCTGGAAGGCCTGGCGGATGCTCAGGTAGTAGTCGCTGACCAGCTGCTGGGCCGCCTGCCGCGTCACGTCCACCAGGTCGTACAGGAAGGCGGGGCTGGAGCCCAGCTCGGTGCCAGCGCTCAGCAGCAGGCGCCAGGCTTCGTACACGTCGCTGGCGTTGTACCAGAGCTCCGTGTCCATGTGCAGCGAGGGCCGGCGCACCAAGGGGCTGCGGTTGTGGTTGACGCACACGCCGGTGCAGTTATACACGCTGCGGAGGAGCAGGCGCCAGGCGCCGGCTGCGGCAGCGTTTGGGGTGCCGTAGCGGCGCTCGGCGTAGCGGGTCACCCAGCTGGGCAGGTCGAGGGGCTCCTGACGCCAGCCCAGCTCGTTCATCAGCTCGTACACCATGTCGTTCTGCTCAATGCCCTCGGGCACCAGCCCCGTGCCCACCATGGTGGAGTTGGGGAAGCGCCGAGCGGCGAAGGGGCCGTGGTTGATGGCCTCCACAGTGCCAAAGAGGCCGTGGTTGCCCCCGAAGTTGTGCAACATGCACCAGATGAAGGGCTGCCCATAGAAGGACTCTGTCCACTGGTAGACGGGCTTGGACTCAGCGAAGAGGTCGAGAACAATCATCCTGCCGAGGGGCACTCCATGCAGCAGGGCTCGCACCTGTGCTGGCTGCCAGAAGTCAGGCTGGTGCTGGAAGAGCCAGCCCTGCATCAGCCACAGAGCCTTGGGGTCAGCTGGGGACAGAAAAGCACTGAGTGAGATCCTCTCCAGACAGGGCCCACAGGTGAGGCCCTAGGGTCACCAACCACCCCTCAAGGAGGTTTTGGGGGTCTGGCACCAATGGGTTCTGTGCTTGCATGGGGCCCACAGCCATCTCCCCCAGCCCCTGCTGTCCCACCTGGAGCCCTGTGGCCAGGCCAGCACCACACACTGACCCACCTCCTGTCATCGAACTGAAAACAGCATTGCTGACTCTTGAGAGATAGGCAGGGTCAGAGGACAGCGGGGTCATCTCGTTGAAGGTGTCTGCGCTATAGACGTGGTCTGTGCCAAACTCCTTGATCAGCTCCTTCAGGAAGAGGGTCCCGATCACCTGGAACATGGGGTCCTCTGGGTCCAGCAGGTAGATGCATGAGTAGGTGCAGTCAAAGTGGCTCCAGCGCCCCAGGCGAGTGGCATTCACACGTGGGAAGACCCTGCACCGGAGGGCAGAGATGGGGACCAGGAGAACAGGACGGGACCACTGTGCCCATACAGGGACAGGGCAGCCTCCCAGGGAACTGAGCCCCCGGGGCAGGGACTGCACCTACCGAAGGATCCCCTGCGGCACGTGGCCCGCGAACGCCGGCAGCACCGTGGTCATCCCCAGCGAGCGCATCCGCTCCACGATCCGGTACTGGGGGAGAGAAGGAGGGAGGGAGCAGAAGGAGAGAGGCCGCCACCTTCCCACGAGGGGACCCCGGGCGCTGCTGCAGCTCGGGGTGGGGCAGGGGGATCCCCGAGGCTCCCTGAGGGCAGCCTCGGCCAGGAGGACCAAGGGGTGACAGGGGTTTGCCCCGTCCCCGGTACCTGCAGGTAGAGCTGCTTGAGGTGCCAGGTGGGCGGCAGCGGCCCGGCCCAGCGGCGGAGGTTGCCCATCCTGTTCCAGGCCAGGAACGCGGGGCCCGTGAAGTACTTGTCGATCTCCGACTGGTTCAGCCCCAGGTTGCGGTAAACCTGCGCCGGGCGCCGGGGGTCAGTCGGTCCCACGGCTCCCGGTTCCAGAGGTCCCGCCACCGCCATCCTGTTGGTTCCGGTTCCGACGCCTTCCCGGTCCCCGCCGCCCCTCGTCCCCGGTTCTCACCCGCTGCCAGACCGCCTCTTGCCCCGAGAAAGCCGGTGCCAGGTTAATGCCGCTCAGCGCCATCCAGTCGATCTCCCGCTCCCAGCGCGCCCAGTCCCACCAGGCGAAGGAGTAGCTCTGGGTGCAGACGTTCTGGTAGTAGCGGTACCTGCGGGACGGCGGAGGCTGCGCCCGGGCCCCCCGGGCCCCCGTTACATAACAGCGCCTTGTCCCGCGCTAACGAGGCGTGAGCCCGGCCCCGCGTCCCCGTTACCTGCCGGGGGCGGCGGCGCGGATCTCGGCCCGCAGCCGCGGCAGCGGGTCCGGCAGGCGGAGCTGCGCTCCGGACCAGGACAGGTGGCAGCCGCAGAAATCTCGCAGGTAGCGATAGAGGCCGGCGGCCGCCGCCACGCCGCTGGAGCCCGTCACGGCCACGGCCACGGCGGCGCCGGGAGGCGACCACAGCCGGTAAATGTCGGGCCCGCCAGCCGCCAGCGCCGGGTCCACCGACAGCGCCACGGCGGCGGCCCGCGGGCCGAGCAGGCGCCGCGCCAGCGCCCGCACCGCCTCCTCCTGCCGCGCGTTCCCCGCTCCAGCCGCCGTCGCCGCCAGCAGCAGCAGAAACGGCAGCGCCAGCCCCGGTCCCGGCTCAGGTCCCGGTTCCGGCCCCCGCCGCACCGCCATCGCCGCTGCCTGCCCCTGCCCCGCCTCTCCCGGTACCGGCCCGCCCGCCGCCGGCCCCGCCTCTCCGGGCCCCGCGGCGCTGGGCGGTCCCGGCCGGGGGCGGGCCCGATCTGTCACCGGCCTGCCCCGAGCGGAGCGGGGCTGGTGCCGCGGGCGCGTCTTGATCCCCCGGAGCAGGGATGTCCCGGGCCGGCTGGGGACAGCCGGGGCTGGCTAGGGACAAGCGCTCCCTGAGCCCCGGGGCCGCTGCGGCTCCTTCCCCGCCCGCTCCGGGTGCCCGAGCAGGGGCCGGGTGTGCAGCTCCTGCCCGGGGCAGCGGGACCCCCGGGGCTCCGGGCTATTTCCAGTCTCGCGTTTTCCTCCCGTCACAGTTCCGCACCACCGGGGCAACCGGGCCGCGGTGCTCCGCCCATCCATCAGCCCGGGGGCTCCCGGGACTGACCGGGACCCGCTCCGGCCGGCCGGGGGCGCTGCGAGACCGGGCAGCGCCCGTGCCCCGGGGCCCGGCAGTGCCCGGGCAGCACCGGGAGCGGCCCCGCCCCGGGGAACCGGGGGGGCTCAGGCTGCCCGGGTCTCTGTCAGCCGCAGCACGAATTCGTAGACACTTCCAGGCCAGAACCCGGTTGCGGGGCGGCCCGAGCACCCCCAGTACAGCCCATGGGAGGCTGGGGTCTCCTGCCAGCACCAGGGCTGTGCCTGTGACCCCAGAGCCGTGGAAACGGCTGGAAATGTTGTGATTGCACGAGAGAATGGTGAAAGAGAGAACATTCCCCCGGCCCTCTGGTACCTACAGCTGCAGAAGCATCCCCCGCACCTGCGGGAAGCCGGTTCCTTGTCCAAGAGGAGGGGCCGCAGTTCAGCGGCTTCTCGCCCTCCTGGAGAGACCAGGAGATCGGAAACACACCAACATGAGCAACACAATCGCCAAAACCCTGCAGAACCCTCCCTTCCGCTGCTCCCACACATGTGGAAATACCCTGTCCGGCAGGAAGGGCCTGAGTAAACACGGCCCTGTGGGGAGAGCGGGGGTCCCTGGGGCTGGGGAGAGCAGCAGGGCACAGCCTGGGCAGGCAGCTCGTGTTGCCTCACTCCCCACGGAAGTGTACCCACAGCACAGGCCTTAACAAGGAACTTTTCCCCCTGCACAACTCCTCGTTCCACCCAGTTACGGGGTCTATCAGGGTGGGCAGGAGGCCCCGGGATAAACGGCCCTGGCCCAGCCTTGGCTCAGGATAAGCACAGAGACAGCGCAGCCAGGCAGGGTCACGCCGGCCTTGCTGTGCAAAGCAGCCCTGCCCACCCCGTGCCTCTGGCCACAGAGGTGACAGGATGCTGGACAGAAATGCCTGAGCTCCCAGCTGTCCCCAGCAGCTCTGGGGGCTGTGTTCAGTGTAGGTCAGGGATGAGGGGCTGCCCCCGAGCCCCCTCACGGGGGAAGCAGAAAACAGACCACAGCGTTTGTTGTGGAGTTCATTTTATTTATACAGTGACTGTCAGCAACGTTTCATCCAGGCAGCAGAACACAGCAGGACTCATGTCACAGCTCCACGCTTTGATTTCACCCTTCAGTCTGCAAACACCTCTGTGAATGCCCACCACGTCCTCCTGTAACACAGTGAGTGCCCAGGGCCTGCCCAAGTGCAGCGCATGTGGCCCACACATGTGCACATTGCAGTGTGCAAGGCACACCTAACTTTCTCACCTAATTTCAAGCAGCCTGGCACCTCGAGGCATCTCCTCCTTGCTTCCAGGTTCATGAGTCTCGTTATGGTTCTAACCTGCTCATACACAAATGCCTCCACTGCGAGAACTGAACGTGGCAGTCACACTCAGCACTAACACACACCCCACTGCTGCTACAGCTACATCGAGTTGAGGAGTGCAAGGAAATATTGACAGCTCGGACAGGAAAGAAAGCAACAGCTAATGCAGGGACACACCACAGAGACCCCCTTGCCATGGAGCTGTTTTGGCAAGACTGGGCCACTGCTCTCCCTTAAAGGGCTCCTCAGACCCTGAGTGCACAGGACAACGTGAGTCACTGGTACATCCATCTGTGCAAAAGCTGCCTCCACCAATGCCCAGCCCACACATACACTATCTGATGTGCCTCAAGGACTTTGATTTCAAACCAGAAACACCAGAATTTTCACTGCAAGTGGCAGTACCTGCAGTCACCAATGACAGTCTGCACCGAGGCTCATCCCTCCCCATCTTGCCCCAGGCCACAATCAGGCAGCTGAGTCCCAGTGCATGAGGACTCCTCACCACTGCCTCCAGCAGCAAGAGGGAAAGCAGCCCTCACTCTTCTCAAGCTGAGGTCGTTGGGCCTTTTCTCTGTTTGTTTTGTTGTGCTGTTTCGTCCCCTCAGCAGAGCTGCCATTTCTTTTCTGATCAGTTGCCAAGGAATGCACAAAACAGGGAGCACACGACTGCACACCAAACAGACACCTCATGCACTTGGTACCTTTGGGAGTAAACTTAAGGAACAAAAAGTTTCTGTGATCCAGTGTTGTTACCCCAGAACGTCAAAGCTTTTGGCTTTGGATGCCATGGTAACGCTCAAGGGTGCTGCAATAAGTTACTGTCACTATACACACAACTCACAGGGACACACGGGGAGGGTCAGTCACACCCTTGGTGTTGGGGAGGGACAGTCACACACACACACACACACACAACATTTAACACTGCTGGAATGGGGGTCCTCAGTCATCAAACCTCCCCTCACGGATGATGTCAAAGGAGAAAGGGAGAAACTTGAACCCAGTGCCAGTGTAGAATTTGTTCTGGAATTCGATCCTGCAAGAGATAGAAGATTGATAACTCATTAATAAGGCAGCTCTCAATAGGAACAATTAGCAAGAACTCCACTAAAAGTAGGAATACTGACTGTAAAAAGCTTTAAAGAGAAAAAGAGATATTATAACAAAATGTATCTTTTGGCACAACCGAACTGTCCAGAGACTTCCATCCCACCCTCAGGGACAAAAAATGGCAACAGGAGCAGAAGGCCGGCTCTGGCAGTGTCCCAGGATGCACAGGGTGCAGAGGGAGCATTTTCTACACCGGCTGCTAAAGTTCCCTTTTTCATTAGCACAAGCCTCAGCCACGTGACACCGAGCTCAGACTCCCCACCAGCCTCTTCTGTTTATTCCCTGCAGCACATTTGTACTGGGACGTGCCCGTCAGCTCCAGCCGAGCGTTAGCTCAGCCCCATTTGCTGCTGGCCCTAATGAACTCGAGTAAAAAAGAGAATTATTCTAGAGAACTGCCCAATAGTCAGTGACAGCCAAATAGGGACAGGGAAAACTAATCCCCTGATCCCCAGCAAAAACAAGCCCAGGCTTCAGACACTTTCCACTGCACAATTTGCTGGAAAACAAAGTCTCTGCAGGCAGCAAGTGACAGCAGACTGGGGAGCCTTTAACACAGTTCAGGAGAACGTTTTTTTCAGCAAGAAAAGACAAACTTGAATTATTTTTCCCCAAATGGGGAATCATGGCCAACTCCAGAGCTGCTGGATTCAGCCAGCAAAAAGTGATTTCCTCACAGAGCCCAGGAGGGAAATGCTCAGGAAAACCAGCTTTAGCCTGTATCTTCTACTGCCTCACAGGCCAAGGGATCCCCAGGATGAGCAGGATTTTCCATGTGGGAGGAAGGGCTTCTTGCCAACATGCACCAGTTTTTCAGGAACCCAGATAATCTCTGTAAGTATCCTGTGACTAAGTAACTGTTCTGTAAGCAAAGGGAAATGGCAGAGGGCTGGGTATGTGAGTCACTCAAGCTCACTGTGACTGACATGTTAACCCTGATGATTCACAATTCCAGCTGGCCTCAAACCCTCCCTCTGGACATTCTGTTACAACTGGCCACAACTGGAGGCCTGACACTGGAAGAGAGGCTGCTCTAACATTAGAGAACTAGCCAGAAAAGTGTAACCAAATAATCAGTGTACATGGTCAGTGGGGTTTTCTGCAGGTGTCTCCAGGAACACCCAGAACCCAGCAGGAAGCAGTGCTGTTGCCAGGCTCACTGCCTGTTACATGTCCCAGTTTACTGCTCAACCCTCCGTGTGTCTCACATCAGTGACCAAGTCCTGCAGAGAATTTATAGACAGTGGCATTAGCAGCAAACAGCCCAGGCGTCCTCTGGTAGCAGCAGAGCTACAGGAGACACATTCTGCAGCTTTCTGCATTAATATTCATGTCAGTGTTTGTCACACTGTTGTTCTGTGGATTTTCCAACCCCACGGTCAGGGTACACTGGGAAACCAGGCAGCTCCAGTCCTGTGAGCAGGAGGCAAAAGTGCAATGGGAACCCTGAGTGCCACTCAGTACAACTGCAAATTCCCACTCTGTGTCCCTAAACACAGGTGCCACAGCCTGGGGTCAGGTGTGAACCAGGCACACCTCAAGGGTGGTGACCTGACAGACAGAACCCACTGTTTGTGCAGAGACTGCTGCAGTTACTCCTTCCCAAAAACAGCAGAGGGACATATCTGCCTCTGGGATATTCCATGCTGCCTGACAGGAGGCTGTGGCTGCCCCTGGGAGCAGTGGCTCCTGCAGCCACACTGCAGGCGAGTCCTGGCTCGTGACATTTACAGAGGAAAATCAAATCCTGGCAGGTGGGTGAGCAGCTGCACCTCCCCACTCCCACTCACTGGATTGAGAGTGGGATACAGCTCCAACACACCCACGCTTCTTGGGAACCCTGAATACAGTCACAAACTTTTTCTTTTGGGCACAGCCTGTTTTGGCTCATGTCAGAAGAGGTGACTAGTTTAAAAAGGGGGAAGCTGCTTTAATCTGAATGTTCATGTCAAACTACATCACTGAAAAGCAATAAATGGAAAGGTTAAATATTTCAGAAGAGTTACAGCAAAAAGAAGCTGACAGCACAACAGCTCAGATACATACAGAGCTGCAGTGGAGCCCCAGCTGACACCCTGCAATCCTGGCAGCAATCCAGAGGGCTGCCTCAACCCCAGAATGGCCTGAGAAAGCCCAACCTGCTCAAAGAATGCACACTGAAAAAGTACAAAATAAACCTCCCTCATTTGGGACTGCCAGGCACAGCATATGGAACAACCTGTGAATTCCCTGACCAGTAAAACACATGCTCCACTCCTCCTTTCCAGGAAGGCTGAACCACCCACACCTCAAATTCCTGATAGGTGACGGTTCTCCCATAGCCAGAAAATCCCATCTGCTCCTCCCAGGACAGCTGTATTTGACCTCCACTCTTCCTTCCTCTTCCTAAAAAGGGAACACCTGCCATTGGAACACCCTGTTTTCAGCTCAGGAGCAAAAAGGAATGTGAACAGTGTGCTCTTTGGAACCACTGCAGGTGCCTCCCTGTGATAACCAACACCCAGCAATCTCAAAATCATTTCAGCAGATCACTTGCAGTCTGAAATAGAACCTTAAACTTGATTTTTGGGCTCTGAGCCTGAACAGATTTTCTCTCAGAGCCTGTGCATGAAAAGCTTGCAGGTTTGAAACACATATTTAGGAAAAAACAGGACTTTGAGCACTCCAGTTCCACAGCTGCCCTGCTCTGGTCTGCATGGGCAGAGTCATCTGTGCTCTCACTGCTGCTGCCCCTGGGTTTACCATTTGCCATTTCACTGACAAAAACACAGATGGGTTTTTAACGGCCCTTTAGGCAAAAGCCTAGCAATATGAACCATTACCTCCAGCTCACACCTGTTCCAGGTGTCTGAGCCATATCTGGAGGTGCAGTTTGTGATGAACACAAGACAAGCAGCGCCCCAAAAATGTGTTTTCTGCTCCAGAGAGCCTGCCTAGAGCAGCTGCTCAGAGCTGTTCCCCTGCTGCTGCTTAGAAATGGCCATGCAGCTCCACAGCCCAGAGAGGCCAAGCCCTGGAAATCCTCTAATCCTGAAGGAATTGCAGAGCAAATCCCCCCACATCTGGAGTTACAGCACTGCTGCCCTCTGCTCCTCTTGGCCTGCTCTCAGTGCCCAGCAGGGTCTGCGGGGCTCTTGCTGTCACTGCTGTCACGTCCCAGCACGGTGGCAGCAGGGAGAGGATGAGGGACCTCTGGCCAGGCAGCAAGGAGCTCCGGAGTGGCTGCTATGCAGGGTTCAGGCTGCATGCCAGGAAAAACAGAGGCACCATCCAGCAGCCATTTCCAGGAGTGCCCCCCTGGCTCCCTCAGCACAAGATGGCCTCGCCCCAGGATCAGCTTGGCTCACTTGGCTACAGAGACACAGGTGGACCAGGAGCCTCCAGCCTGCACCCCCAGGAGCCAGGACACTCCAGCCTGCACCCCCCAGCCTGCACCTCACTAGCTGCCAAGGCACAGGGCAAAAGGCCAAAGCTTTCCTTCCCCACAAGCAGGGGAAAAGTGCAAAAAGGCTGATTTTCTTCTTTTGCTTTTTAGAGGGACTTGCTTCCTGTTGCACTTACAGAACTACTTTCAGAGTGTGCTCCCAACATTTTCTTCCCATTTAAACATGACAGTATTTCTTGTGATCTTTAGAGACTTCCCTTCGCTCTCATGATCCCCCCACCCCCAGGAAATCAGCAGCTTGAGGAGGTGGGAGCAGCCTGAACCCCAGAGTGGCACAGACTCTCCTACACTTCAGGCTGAGAAAATCCTACTCCCAGTTGCTCCTCTGATCCCACCAGTGCACTAACGAGGGAATCTGAAGTGGAACAATGAGTGCTCTTAAACATGGATTAGAGAAAGCTCTTGAATATTTTCCATACTTGGGAGCAGAGTAATTCCTTCTGCTTTGCTGGCTGCATACACAGGAGCTTAATAATCACAGGAAAGGGGTTGCAGAAGAAATTTCCAAAAGCAAGACCAGCAAAAACTCACTGCCATCCCAAAGTACCCCAAGGGCAGAAAGCAAAGCCACTCCTTTCCAAGGCAAGGTTTTATAGCAATGAACAAGAGCATGAGAAGGAACCTGCAGTCAGTGGCTACTGCACACAAAGGACAACAAACACAGGAATCAGGGAAAAGACCAAGAGATGGAATGAGAAAGTCCTGCTGAAAGCCACAAATCACACTGCTCCAGCCAGCACAGCCTCCCCAGTCCCTGGTCCCAAAGCTTTGGTCCTAAAGCTTTAGTCTTTTGGTGCTTATCTCTAAGCAGAGCTCCACAACTTTAAACAACAGTTAGGGGAAGGTGTTTTACTACAAACAGGATTGAAATCTCTGACCCTTTTTAAAGACTTTCTGCCTTGTAGAAGATGGCATTTCTGCACAGTCCAGGTGACATCCATTTCCTTGCTATGAAGAGCTCTCCCAGTTTCTGGATGTCCCAGTAACTCACCAGTGCAAGCGCAGAGCGTGGAGGAAGGCTGAAAGCCCCTCCATGACCAGCAGAATGGCCACTGTCAGCGTGGCAAAAGCAGCAAAGATGAAGAAGAGGCCCAAGCCTCCCCCCAGGCTCCTCACACTGAGGCCGATGTGGATCACCATGGTCCAGAGCACCTCCGAGAGCTCTGCCGAGAGAAAGGGGAGAAGACTGAAGTCAGCAGGAACAGGGGGTTGTTTACTGGTAAAGTAACAACTAAAGTCAAGCAAACCCCTGCTACAATGAGGTGGAAACTGAAGAGGGATGAGAGCTTTTGCAGCCAAGTGTGCCAGGACATTGCCTCCAGCTGTCACACAGGGCAGGGCAGAGTCCTTGCTCAGCAGCTCTTTGCTTTATTCTGTGATTTTACCTCCATTCCTCCCATTCAGCAGAGCTGTGGGAGCAGACCCTGGTGTGTGGAGCTCACTGCTCCCAGGTAATTCACACTGTGCTGTGCCAGCCAAGCCCTGAGAGGCCTCTTGTGCCCAGGCTGAGCAGGCACAGGGCCCCACAGCTCAGCTCCCTGAGGACACTCACGTGCGTGGGCCAAGCTGAGGGCCCAGAGGCGCAGGTAGGACGCGGTGTTGGAGATGCAGCCCAGGCAGTACTCGATGGTGTGGATGGCCTGGTACACCACGGTGTCCCCAAAGTCGAACTGCAAAGGGAATGCAGGATGAGGGGAGCTGGGAGCACGGCGTGGGCAGGGACAGGGGCAGGGGAACTGCTGCTATCACCAGGGACACTGTGTGTGACACTGCACACTGACACTGTCTTCTCCTGGTTTAGCACGCCAGCGCCACAAACGAAAAATGAATCTTGTCTCGACAGGTTTTGCAGAATGACAAATGCTGTGATGTGAATATTTTCTTATTCTGGCACGTGAAAGTCAAGATATTCCAAATTCATCCATGGGCTTAGCCAGGAAAAGACTGTTCAGCAGAAGGTGGTGCTGGTGTGCACTCCCTGGTAAGCCAGAGGTGCTGCTGCAGGAAGGAGGCAGTGCCCCAAGCTGTAGTGCATGTGCCTTTGCTACAGGAGCAACAGGAGCATTTTGCAAGACATGAACCTGCCCTTTTTGAAAGCAAAAATAATGCATTAAGCTACTCTGAAAAAGTGACATCTGTGCACCGTTCACTGGCAAAGTTTCTCGGTGATTTTCTGCAATAATAAAAGAACTTAGAAGGAAATCTGCCATGGGGCAGTTTCTTATCCTGCAGCTTGGGAAAACATTCCCTTGCAGTTTGGATTTAATCCATGCTTCAGAAACTGCTCAGATTTAAGTGAACATGATGTTTTAAATACATCCAGTGACTAACGCTCTAGGCATGCACACAAAGCTATTTATAGTCTTAATTCTCCCCTAGTATATCCAAGGCAATATTTCAAACAATTCAGTTAAATTAGCTGTCAAAATCATAATCCTTTCTCTACAGAACATGAGCTGTGAAGTTCTTCACTAAAGGCTGCCCTAGCCACCAGTTCCAGCTCCGGACACATGAGCCAGGAGAGAATGTGGGAAATGTTTAAACAATGACCTTTCAAAGCTGAGTGCAACTGCCTGAGAGATCCACCACTGAGCCAGGAGTGGGAGCACTGGGATTGCTGGGGCACAGTCCTTGTGGGCTGACACATTTTGCCCAGGTTCAGAGAGACATCAGGTACACCAGAACAGGAACCCTGTGCCCCTCCCCTTCCCCCCCATTCCACACAGGCCTGTGCACAGCAGAGCTCTGAGCAAACCACTCTCAGCACAATTTGCAGCAGCAGCACCCTGGTCAAGCTGCTCTGATTTCATGCCATTTGCATTTTTTTGTAGTAAAATTGGTTACCTGATAGTGTTGAAACCTACACTCAATCCTGCATCAGTATTAAACCCCCATTTTTTTAATACTTGTTACGAGTGCTTATGGATGAGCAGTTTCTCAGAGCAGAGCTTCTCTTTTACACAAAGCTTCTGGCCAGTTCAGTTCTTCAACTACACGAAACTGGACTGGTTGTGCTGCATTTGCTCTCTGGGTCAACCAGCATCATCCTTAACATGGCAGATAGTCTGAGGGAAGAAATACCTTTAAACAGTTTGCTGCAGCACAAAATTAAGAAGGCCACAACATAAAGAAACTGGGACTTTTTTTGGAAGCTCAGAAGAGAAAATTTTTCAGTTTCAGACCTCCAGCTGAACAGTTTCCCAGGTAACTGGGAACAATCAGGGGATCACACAGACAAGTTGTATAGATGAAGTAATTAAAAGTCTGTTGATGTATGTGTGTATGAATTAAAAAATGGCCTGTAACATGAAAACAGCAAGATCTTTTGGAAAACAAGATGCTGTGACATAACAAGTTCCATTCAGCACGTTTTACACCGATGGGAAATGGCCCAGGTACACATGAAGGCAAAGCTGCTGTGCTCTTACCACCTCGTCCTCTGTAGGCTTGAAAACATAAATTTACATTTAGTGCAGTGCTTTGATCACATTAATCATGAAGACATTCAGCAATTCCCTCCTACGCACGCCACAGAAAGCAGTAACACATCCCATGCACTACAGAGGCAGGATCTGCTGCAGTCGTTCAGAGGCATCAGAAAATTCCCCAACTACGTGAGATTGACTGTTTTTCTCCTCTCCCATAGGAAAGAGAATTAATATTACCCCCAACAGTCAAAATGAATATATAAACAGAATTTCAGTGCTGCAGAAATACAGCCCCTGAATTTCCACTGGCATGGGAGAAGCAGATAATGTGTGGCACCTGGGAGTGCTGTGCACCCCTGAGATGGTGGCTCTTTGGGGACAGAGCCACATCTCCCAGGATATGCAAATTATGCTGTTTTTTCTGGAGTCCTGGGAGTGACCAAGAGACAGTCAGTGAGAAAACTGCTAGGAACACACTTCACTGGGAATGTTGCTGCTTAAACAGCCTGGAAACGAGTAACTACAGTCCCAGTGAGCTCATCCTGCTGCCGAGTGCAGTGCCCTGAGAGCGAGGATGCTCAGGTGCTTACCTCTTCCCCCTCCTCAGAATGGGTAGATAACTGGTCATGTTGAATGATCTCAGCATCCTCCTCCGTTGGGCCATTGCCCACCCGGATCCCACCAAAGTTGTGCGTGCCCTGACACATGCAGAAAAGAAAGAGCAAAGTGTTGTTCGGGTTTTAGTGCAAAAGTGCAGGTTTCTCATGACTCCATGTGCAGCAGCAGCTCACAGAGGAAAACAAAATATTAAATATTAAGGCCCAGATCAAGGCAGGTACAATTCTATTTCCCAGCTTGGATGGGAAAGGTGCTGATTCCTGCTGGGGCTGGGGAAAAAAAAAAAAGAAAAAAAAAGTCTGTCTGAGTGAATCCTCGGTACATTTCTACAGTGTCACTGCAACCATGAGGACAGTAAAGGCACACCTCTCAGAGGACACTTGCTGGCTCTGACATGCAACAGCCCCAAGTCCTGCCCAGCACAGCTGGACAAGCACTGACACACCACTGCTGGGTACTGGAGCAGGTCATGGAGCTGAACACGCTGACACAAACACACACACACACTTGCTCCCACCAGCCTCAGGCACACCAACAGCACACACAAAACCAGATCTTCCCCTGCTTGGAACCTCTACGTTGTGCAAGCAGGTCTTTTTAGAGACATTTGTTCTGACATTCAGCATCTGACCTTCAGCTGCACCTCCAGGACTCCAAAGGGAAGAGAACAACACACAGACTGATCTGAAATGCTGAAATGGGGAGCAGTTCCCACCTGACCCCTGAGTCTGACCCCTAGAGAGGCAAACTGCAACACCGTAAATAGAAATAAACCCTGTGTCCAGCTTCATCACTGTCTTGGGTCACCTGTGACACAGGATGTGACCTGACTTGCCACACTCAGACTGCAGAGGTCCAGGGATGCCCATGCAGATCAAAGAGGTGCTTGCCCAGACCAGCAGAACAGCTGCTCTGAGTTCTACCTCGTTTATCCTTAGAAGCCTGCTTTTATTTTAGACTGAATTATAAATATGCCCAAAACGCCAGATATTAATTAAAGATTTTGTCAGGTTTCTAAAAACAAATTAGGTAGGCATTTATGCTCTGAAAACAGAAATAAAATTTTAAATCCCCTCCACATTAACAACTAAGACAATGCTTTTAATTAGGATTTTCACTATCTCTGAAACACCCCAAGTCACTGATGACTCCTGTCAATATTCTGTTTATTTATTTCTAGCCTGTGAAATTGAGCAGTCTTTCCCTCACACTCGACTCATATCCATTCCCTGCAAACCAGCCAACCTAAACACAGCTCCAACAGCTCCAATTGTTTACTTGATCCTTCTAAGCACACTTCACACAAGACCTCCCCTCACAGCTTCCCGATGGAGATGCATTTCATACGCTGGATGGATCCTGCACAAAAGAACCATTTTCGTTTCTGGCATTTCTGTGAGGACACTAAAATGTCATGGGAAAACCAGCTGACATGTCCCTCTGGAGAGCATGATGTGCTTCTCACAATTGGTGAGATTCACACCTCCTTAGTCAGCCAGGCAGATTCAGAACTAAAATGTAGCTGAAATAAGCAGCACTGGGGAAGGGACTGAGTTCTGGGGGCTGCCACAATCCTCAGCAGAAAGCTCTGGCAGCAAAGGGCCATCTGTAGGCTTAGAAACACGTAAGTCAAAACAACTGTCATCAAGAAGCTTGTTTGTGCACAACCACTTAATAATAATTTCAGGTCAAAGTGTGTACAGGACAGATGTGTCACAAATCCAATGATTACTGACATGGAGTTGCTGGAGGCCATCACATCACTGTGTGTTTGGGAACACGTAATGCAAACAGAAATGCTGCACTGAGAAGAATCCTAATCTATCTTAAACAAATACACAAGCAGAAGAAAAAAGGGGAATTTAACATGGGGGGATGTGGTAGCAGGAAATCCTGTGCTGCTCTGCAGGTTGGATTCAGCAGCACTTCTGCAAGGAAGTGTCTCTGTGCACACACAACTACCATCCTCCAGCTTGGGTGTTCATCCAGAATGTATCAATTTGGCTAAACTTTGCTCTTTCCAAGAGAAAGTGTTTTTCACCCTAAAGGTGCGCTTGCCATTCCCTTATGAAATTCAGATACATTCCATGCTCCCTCGATAACCAGACACGAAGCCAACTCCCATCTGTAATGCATCAGGCGAGTTTGAAGTGCACTCACTGTTGCAGCCGCTGCTGCCTCGAGCGCCTGCGTGTTCGTGCTGCCCTGGGCCTCCTCGGGCTGCCCTTCCTGGGGGTGGATGGAAGAAGAGAGAGGGAGGAGGAAGGAAACAAAAAGAGAAAGGGAGACGAATGGAGGGGACATGGGAGGATGAAAGGTGGTCAGAGAAGGGAGAGGGAGTGTCTGTGACTGAACTGATCTTTGACTCGCTGCACATCCTCACAGCGCTGCCAGACATGCAGGGAGCACTCGCACGTCTCCGCAGCGCACGTGTGCCACGTTCCTGCATCTCACACACAGGTACAGTGCAGCTGGAAACCTACAGAGCACCCCAGCAGACAACCTCTCACATGAGTCTCTAAGTCTCTTTTTTCTTTTAACTGTTTTTTTTTACCATCCAAGCTGCTTTAACAAAGATAGCTGAGAAGTTTGCCAGCCAATTCCACCTCCGTTTCCCACTGCCAGCCTCGCCCAGCCACAGAACTGCATCCAGCAGCCAGTGAGACTGTTCCTAAACCAGATACCAAAGCCCAAGCCAGAGACACTGTTCTGATCATTACCAACATAAGGGGTTTTTAAAAGCAGATTTGATGCTGGATCCAGATCTGGGAAGCAGGCAGGCAACACTCTGTCTCCAGTAACACCCACCTGCTGGTATGCCCAGGAATATGAAAGAACACTTAACAGGTTTCAATGTGGTGTGAACCCATGGATCCAAGCTCAGGATGGAGAACACAGCTTTTCAACCAAAAACAGTTTTCATATGTAAAATATAAAAGAGAGTCACCCACCAAGTGTTTTCTCCTTAAATACTGCTGCCGAAGGACCAGGGGTTTGGCTACCAGCATCCACGGCACACACAGCAAGGCTACCACCACGAGGAAGCACTGGAGCCCTTTCTGCAAAAGAAACAAGTCTCAGGTAATTCAGCTGCATCCCCTGCTCAAACACACACAGAAGCCAGCAAGAATGGCTGAATTCCCAGTATGTGGATGCTCCACCACCTCTCTCTCTTCTGGGAACAGCAATTAAGTACTTAATGCCTGCAGCTGCCACCTCTGACTGAGCACAGCATTTAATGCTGACACTGGGTTAGACTGGGGAAAAATCCAAAAGATCCTGCAGGGAATGAGAATTTGGCAGATGTCTGATACTGCTGGGAGGAAACAGTGTTGGTGCCTGAGCTAAGCTGAGAGGTATCACATTGCAGACATGGATAATATTCCTAATTGCTTTTTGCTATTAATCAGGATCCACATGTTCTGAAGCCACAGTTGACTTATGGTCAGGCAAATAAAAATTCCTGCTATAGGGATTATTCCTTCATTCTTCAACATTACATAGTATCAGACTTCAGGAATGCTCTGTCACAGTGGAAAGATGTTTCATGCTTGATTTCACAATTATGACAAGCTCAATGAAACACTCCAGTATCGCGAAGCATCTCTGATTCTGTTCTACAAGAGCACGCACCTGCCCACTATAAAGCATCTTATTACTGGTGTCCTCATAGGAGAACAGAAACATGTTGATAAAGTGTATTAAGAGGCTCGGTGCTTCCTTGGATGTGTGAGCATCGTAGGCTGTCCACTTGTAAAAGATGAGAATAACAAGGTATCCAAAGAGGGAGGACATGAAAATCATTTCTGGGATAAATCCAAGGTATATGTTCAGTGGCTTCTTAAAATAGCTACAGGGAAGAAAAAAAAACAACATGAAAGTTTGTGTTAGATTTGGTTAGAATTAGGGCAAAAGCTTTTAATCAGTCTTTGGAATGACAGCACAGGGGCTCAGCAGCTCCACAACAGCTGGGCCTGGAGCACAGGAACTGCTTGGCAGGCACAGTTCCACACACAGCCAGAGATAACTGCACTGCACCTTCCATCAGGAGGTGAGGGCTGATGCGCATCTTAGACCACAGAACACCCAAAGACATTCCATTCCCCACACCGTGAGAAAAACAGAGCAAAGCCCTTACATGTGGTTGAGGAGACTCAATGCAACACCAAAGAGCATCTGGAAAATGCCAAGAATCACAGACATCTTCATCTTGAAGGAATTGAGGAAAGCCAGCTTATTGCTGGCAATGTTCCAGATCTGTGAAAAACAACACCTAGTCAGATACCAGGGAAAGGAAAACAGGAGAAGGAAAACACTCCCTTTAAGCTAAACAGTAGGAACCAGTCAGGAAGTGTGAGGCTGAAAAAGCAGGTTTTAAAGATGTGTTTGTCCTATGGATATCTTCTGGGGAAATGAGCAGACATTTCAGCTGGGAACAGTCTGGCAGTAACTGAGCCCACCATTGAGCAGGAATCAAACCTGTTTTCATGGTGCCTCAAAGGTGCAGGAGAAAAGAGGCTGCACCCTTAACAGAAAAAATATGATTATCCATTTAAAGGAACAATTACACACAGTTCTGATTTCCTGCACTTCCTCTTTATGTGGGACCCACACAAGGTTTGTCAAATATTATAAGCAGAGTTAAGAGCAGAGGTGTTGATGCAGGCAGGTACAAAGTGACAGGATTACTGGGAAATGTGTATTTCCAAAGGTAAAGGAAAAGTTTTTCTCACTGAAAAAAGAGATTAACAGCTTTCCCCAAGGTAAAAAGTAACTTCAGGACGTGATTTTCCTGGCTAATCAGATTTGATTAAAGCACTGCAGGTTAGAAAGGGTGAGAAAGAAGCCTTTAATGGACCTCAGAACAAGGGTCTCTATCCCAAATCTGACATCTCAGTAGGAATTCTATTGCTCAGGAGTATTCCTGACTTGCTCAGGGAATGTCTGGGCTGGGCAATCTTTCACAGAACAGTGAACAGACAGACAGGTACTTTTCTTTCTGCTGACACAGAGGATTTTGCCCAAAAGACTGCAGAGGAAGGATGAGCTCTTACTGGGTCAATGCCAAACGGGTAGGGCCCACCAAACACCCCTGGGATAGCAGGATCCAGCTGCAGCAGGGGGGTGGTCTCCAGCAAAGCATCTCTGTTTGGGAATAAGATTATACAAACATTAACATTAATGCCACCCTCTTTCTGTAAAAACTGACAACACTCTTCCCTTGTGAGAGGAAGGAATAGCTTATCTGAGTTTTATTAAATTGAGAGAACTTCAAGGTTGTAGAACCTGGATGGTTCTAGAGATTTTCCCAAATTAATGAAACCCTGTTTCTTGACTTTTTACTCAGTGTCAAAAGGAAGACAGGTGCAGGGGACAGGATTCTTGAAATGTCTATGGGGAAATACGTGAGAAACTACATCTTAGTAAGTTTTCTGGCAAAAAATAAAATAAAAAACTTTGAATCTTGGCATGTATCATCCCATTTACACCTCTCTTCCACATCTACCCGAGACAGAGGTCAGAGATTTTTGTTTTCCTGAGCTGCAAGGACGAGTCACCTGCTTCTCACTGTCTGTACAAAGTTACCAAGGGTTTACTCACGACCAGTTGGCTTTATTGAACATTGGCCTGACGCTCCAGGAGGAACCAAACATGTTGAGGGACTTGGAGAAGCAATCGTTGTAGATGAGGCCCGTGTAGGTGGAGAAGAGCCCCATCAGCAGGATGATGTATCGACCACTGAACACCATGTTGAACATCTGGTGTAAAAACCCAAAAGGAACAAAGAAAGTCCATGAGAACAGGGCAGGTCCCTCCCAAAGCCAAACCAGGGAAGTCAGTCTGCTGTAAGACAAACATTGGCCACATGAACTGAGAGTCCAAAAATCTCTATTTCCCCTTGGCAGGGATTAAGGGTGCAAGAGGGAGCACAGCAGATAACGAGGATGAAGGGGCAGCATGGATCTCCACAGGGGACCCAGGAGTAGCTGGAGAGGACAAATTGCACTGCACAGCCTGATGCAACTCCCAGCTGGCAGCATGAGTTTGGAACCAGGAGCACAGACCATGTCAGCCTCCTCCAGTTCTGTCAGCGTGTCTTAACTCTGGTTCAGCTCCTGTCAGCCCTGAGCCCGCAAAACTAACCTTGAGCAGCAAACAGGAAAAATGCTGGGGATGGGATATATACATACAGGAACTGGGAGTTTTGCAGTGGTTAAACCCCACTATTATCCAGTTAAATTTGGGGTGATTTGTTTATGTCAATTTGCCTACTACTCTTGATAATTTCCTTCAGACAACTGAAATTAATAATTTCCTCTAAATACACAAAAGGAAAACTAAGGGAACTCAATACTATTATGAAATTACACTACTCAGTGTGTGTGTGTGTGTTCTTCGGGCTTCCCAGCCTGTCCATGTGCTTCAAAAATTCCAAAGGAGGAGTAATGGGCATTGTCAACGCAAGGGGAAAAGGATGGGATTTAACCAAGCTGCAACTCTTTGTTTGAAATGCAAAGCTCAGCACGATCTGCCATTTTACCTCATTGTCACTCTTCTGGGACAGAATCCTGCTTTCCCTCACCACCATCCAGACAGCAATCAGAGTCATCAGGATTCCATGGCCAAAATCCCCAAACATCACAGCAAACAGGAACGGGAATGTGATGATGGTATAGGGTGCTGCAAGGGAAAAGACAGCATTCCCAGGGCACTGTGTGTTAGTCAGCCCAGATTCACCATAGTACAGTACAGGTAATTCAGCAAATGTAATTCCCCAGCTTCCCCTCTGTTACTGAAAGCTGATGAGTCTCCAGTAGAACTCTCTATTAGAGATTTCCACACAGGACAGGCAATACAGATAAACATCACAACTAAAAAACTTGAGACAGAAGTCTTGGACTTTTCCAAGTCTGAATTTACCTGGATTTATTTCCCGGTATGTCCCAATGCCATAAGCATCAACAATGTTTTGAAAGCCAGAAGTAAACTTGTTAGTTTTGTTGTATGTGGGTGGGGTCTGATTGGTTTGCATCCTGTTTAAAATAGATGGGACTGTGGATCCGCTGTGCTCCTGTTTGAGAAAAACAAAGGGAAGATCAGCAAACCCACCCTAGGAGCACTGGAGGATGAAGTCCAACACAGCTGTCCCACTGGCATTTGAAAAACTGCAAGCTTGAGTGTTTGCAGTGTGCTTGCACAATGAGATGCTGGAGCAGCTGAGGAAGGCTGCCAGGATTCCACTGCTCTGCACTTTGTGTAGCAGGAGTAAAGGTGAATGTTGTCTGCGCAGGACAGACAAGAAAACAACAAGCAAGTGGAAGGACTTCAAGAAACCCAACTCTCTTGACTATCTGAGCAGAGGGTGAGTTTGCCAACATCCTGGAGAGCTCCTCTACCCAGACACCAGGAATGCAGAGTCCAGCCAGGGTAACTAAACATAGCAAAGGTCTTACACATGGGAAAATCCTCACCATTCCAGCATTCACCTGAACTCTAAGCTTCGCACAACCTACTTATTACTACTTTTATCTCTGAGTCATCATTCCTGCATGCTACATAAGCTGTCCTCTGTGAGGGCTGATTCCCAGCTCAAGGGGATGGTGTTCAGAGGATCACAATACAGAAAAGGCGATGAATCCACGTGGTGCTGCCACAGCTGACTGGCACAGCATCTACTCACAGTGCCTCTCCTGAGAGCAAACTGGATGGAATCGAGGTCAGCAACAGGACACCACACTTCAGCAATCAAGCACTTCTGTGTCACATCGATGTTGCACAGGTTCAGGGTGTGGTAAATGGCCTTCATCTTCCGCACTTTGATGAACCAGACACGGATGTTTTTAGCGGCCGCCTGCAAAACCCTCTGGCGATGATCCTCGGTTTGGTTCAGCACCTTTCAGAGAAGCAGGAGAAAGATGAGGCCAAATCAAGGACCAAAGCTCCAAGTGCACCAACAAGACAAGCCTTTCCTACAGAGGATGAATGACCAGCCTGCTCCCCCATGCCTGCAGTCTATGATGTACCTCCATAATAATTAGTTCTGCTGAAAGGCTTAAGGGCTTTTTCCAGGGATGTTTTCTGATTATTTTCTTCCTCCAGCTAGAAGGTCAGTGGTTGTTTCAAACAACAAACTGTGCCAAGATCACAGAGAACAGTTTTACCTCCACCCAGGTTAAAAGAGCAGAGAAGAGTTCTGCAAGTGAAGGGTTTGCTACCTTGAGAAAACACATAAATTACCCTGAAAGACTTGTTTACTGAAGGGAAAAGGAGAAAGTGTTTCCTGCTGAGGGTGTTTTCCAACTGGAACATATCAAACTCAGGCCAAGTCAGATTTCCAGAATGGAAAGTCTTAGATTGCAGGGAAAGTGAGGACACGAGGCACATGCAGCTTACAGCAGTTATACTGCTTCTGGGTTCCTGTCTACTTTAAAATCTTTTGAGCTGCACTGCACAACTCCCAGCTTGAGACAGTTTCTGTATCAAACAAGTAGGTCAAATTTAACCATTTTTCCTTTTAGTTCTGAACCTTTTCTCAATTTTTGTCTCAAATCCCTGAAATCTTTCTATATTATCACATACTGCCTTTCTTCCTTGAAGCAAGCACCAGGTATTTCAGAGGTGGCACCCACGAGATCTGGGTGCTAATTACTTTTTACCAACCCTCAGGCTGCTGCACAAGAGATTAGTTGTAAAGCAGAAGCTCTTCAGGACAGCACAACGTGAAAATATAAAGACAGGCAGAAAAAAAGAGCTAAGTTAATGTTAGCATTGTTATCTCACCTTGGAAAAAAGTTTAAATGTTTTCAAAGTACTTGCAGATGAACAGGCAGTTACACAACATGCTCTCAGAGTCAGAACCTGCGGGATCTCCCTACACACGAGTTCCTCCTTGCTCCCTGATATGGAGTCCTCTGTACTTATTTGTATATAATGAATTGCTAAGCCCTCCAGAAAGCTCAAACCACCCATCCCAAATCCTGACACAGAAACAACTGAGCAGTCTCCAAACACCTCTCTTGCACTGCTGGTCTCAAGCTACCAGAAGGTGAAAACACGGTCATCTAATAGGGGCAAACATCCTCCTGTTTTAACAGGATCCAAAGTTTCCAAATAGAGTTTTCAACCATATTATTAAAGAAAAAAACTAAAGAACTGTCATTGACCCCAGTTATTTTACCATCTGAAGATCATCAATTCTGGTATTGACACCAGAAGCCATTTCCTTCCGCTCCTGAGGTGTTTCTGGGCATGGGTAGAGGGAGGCTCGGAACCTGGAAGACAGGGAAGCACCTCAGTGACAGAGATGGAAAGAAGATCAGTCAGTCAGGGGTGAACCAGAGGCACCTTAAGAGAAGTTTCTGAACAGCAGAGACTGCCAGGCAGAGCTCCAGCCTCTACATCAACGGGATGCAGAAGTTTGCTTTAGGCCAAAGCAGAAGCTGAGTGCTTAAGAAAACAGAAGTGGGAGAGAATCCTCTTCTTCCTGTGCTGCCAAAGTCTCCAGGCACTGTCACGAGGCTGGTCAGCCATCCAGCTGAGGGGGGATGCTGTCACACCAGTGCAACTGCTGATAGAAGCAGTCACTGCTGTCTCCCCTGTGAGAATATCCCACTGATGTCCCATCAGGCTGCCCCAAAAATCAACATTCCCTTGGTATTTTGCATTCCCTAGCACAACAGTTTTGTACTTTTGAGCATTACAGGCTGAGGAGTGGCAAATCTGACTGTAAAATGTGTTTCAGTTACTTATGGCACATTTCATTTGCTGTCTAAATATATTGCTCCTGCAACCACTGCGAAACAGGGAGTTGAGAAATAGTGATATTAAGTCATGCCAGTGTTTCAAATAATTGAGAGCTGCCCAGCTGTTAGACTTTCATACCCTTCACAGATCTTCTTGACTCTGTTCTTCAGCTGGTCACCTTGGAAGAAGATGATAAATACAGACTTGTGCACATAATCCCCCTAGAACAAAGGAAAGAATTGTAGAAATTAGCATGAGATATTTACCAGATATTTTTTTCCTCTTGCTGAGTCTGTCCATCAGAGCTCAGATATGCACAGCAAGTCAAGAATGTCCCTGATTAACACTGAACAGTCACAAGAAGAGCAATTTTCTCAGCCTCAGTACAGAATACCTGCACTGTATTTGTGTCTAGTGAAGCAAAATGTCCCAGGTTATTGATTCTATGCAATACAGTAAATGGGAAAACCTGGTAAGAGCTCCAAAATTAATGAAGATGCAATTAAGTATTTATCAGCACTTAGTGCAGTCAGCTCACCTACAGAATCAAGCCAAAAGAGGGAATGAAGATATAAAAAAGTGGAATTTAACCAGTGTGGTTCCCAGGGAGGCCAGAGCCACATTCCTTGCACAGCTGTGTCCGTGGGGGCAGCCAGGGCCCCTTTCCTGCATTTGTTGACAAGTTATTGTTCTACCTTACTTAGGAAATTTTAACATAATGTTTCAAGAATAATTACATTAGGTGTAACCTCAATTTAAGGAAGTTCTGCACAATAAGAACAAAGTCTCTCCTAGCAGACAGATGATTCCCCAGGTCAGCTACCAGTGGTTGGTGGGACAAGGGAACACATCAGCCTCACATGAGAAAGAGAGGCTGTTACTGAGCTTCATCTCCCAAGTCTGGGTTCCAGGACACCCCTTCACTAGGTAAGAGCAAGGGTGCCCCAAGTTTGGGCAATGCCCACTGGTTTGAGCACAGGAGACACTGGATGTAAAACCAGGCCCAATCACAACATTTACTATTTATTTCTGTACTAATGCAAACAATTGTAAGGTGGATGTTTAAATTATTGATGAGTGAATTAAGAAAAAACTGTAAGGTTCAAGTTCAGAGAAATGAGCTTCAGGTATTACACACTGCCCATGTCCCAAAGAGCATCTTCCACAGAGGATCACTACTCCTTCAGAACTGCACTTGCAGTTTGGGCCAGAGAAATCCCTAGGCCCTGCTGCAGTCCACGTTTTGAGCTGTTTTCCCCTTCCAACAGCACTCCCCATCCAGCCTCCTACTTTTGTTTCAATTAAACAGGAAAACATTTGTTGATGAAGCTCAGAGGCTGCAGCAGGTGCTGGGACAAGACCTCACCGCATGGATCTGACAGAGGGACACAACTTTCTACATGATGCACAGCTCTTGGGCCCTGCTGCTGTACCCAAGAGCTCCTTTACCGTGACGGGGTCCTCCAGCGGGTTCTCGATCTCGGCCTGGCGCAGGAACACGTTCCCGCGGCACACGCGCCACAGCATCCGCTCGAACGTGGGGATGCGCTCGCGGTTGATCACGCCAGCCACGAACCTGCAAAGGGACAGCACGGCCTCAGGGGCTGCAGCTGAGCCACCCCAGCACACTGGGGGCTGGTGATGCACCCAAAGCTAGAAAAATCTTGTTTTAATGTTAGTTCTTCAAGAGAAATGGAAGGTCCTTGAAATGCGTGGAGGTAACACACAACAAAACAACTGCACTATAGCACAGGCTCTGTTTCTTAACAGAATGAAATAATCTTTAAAAATATATAGACCACTGCTTATATAGGAGAAACAAATGCATTTAGATATAGAGTTTCTAATCTTTATTCCCCTGCAGTCCTGGTACATTGGCTGCAAGAGTTACAGCCAGTGACTATGTCCTGGGCTCATACTCAGACCTCACTGGACCAAACCTCCACGTCCAGATAAAGAATTACAAATGCACAAGGAAGCCTGGAAGCAGCTGATAAAGAGGATGTAGAACTGTACAGTTATTTCAGACCATTATGTACCCACAGGAGTAACAATTTTCAACAAAGCTCTGAGATCTCAGAATGTCTGAAGAAACAACCAGACATGCTTACATGGAACAAACTGGGTTAATTGTTTGGTGCAGAGAGAAACTTGTGAATCACAACCATGAACCAGGAAGTTAGTATGGGCAGGAAAAGAGCAGAGAGCAACAGCTCTCTGGTTTCAGATCAGCTTTCATCTGCTTGGTATGGAAAGTTTCATAACTATGCTCAAATCATTGCTGCTTCCACAGGCTGATAATCCCTAATCCAGCAATCCTGAACTGCAATTACCCGAGTCGGAGCGGGGCACCTCTTCCCATCTCGCTCGGCTCCAGCAGTGAAGAGGATTCCTCCAACAGGTCTGGATCCGCCATCTGCTGATGATGCAATTCAGCCTGAATTCACAAATCAATTAATATCTAATGAAACCAGTTAGTGGCATGCAGGGAATGAGGAGCCAGGAGATAGTTGTGGGAGACAAAAAAAGAAAGGAAAGGAAAGAAAAGGAAGAGCAAACATAAAACAGCAAAAAGAGGAACAAGATGACAGAAAAGACAGCAAGAATAACACATGGAAGGAGAAAAACAAGAGGAAAAATGGAATGGCTCAGCAGGGCTTCCACACAAGACTGTTGCAACAAAAGGGCTGGGAGATATATAAGTCTGAAGAAAGGCAGAAGTAAAAAAAAAAATAAATTTCAAGTTTTAAACACAAGTGATGTTCCCAAGAACTATTTTTAATGGCACAAACCAGAGAAACACACTTGACTCATGTATTTCTCCAGATATCAAATTAATTTATCCTTATTCACCGTATGGTTCACCATCAGACACAAACACTGCTTAGAGCAGGCTGGCAACGTGGCTCATCTCTGCCAGCCAGGCACTAAAACAGGACAATTTTACACCGTCCTTCTTTGCAACTCATTTGCAGGCTAAAATTCTTAGGAATATGGCTTGTAAGTGTCAGAAATTCAGGTCAAGGATGCTCAAATTATATCCTCTTGTGCACCATCTTCACACTTGTTCAATCCCGCCTCACACTTAGTTCTACCTCTGCAGCTCATATAATGAAATGCCAGAGATTACAGTTCCTGAGCACAACCAGAGGGCCAAAGTCTACCCTCTGTGGTATGCAGGAGGTCTTTCCCACAAAGCCATCAAGGGGACTTGCTGAATCACACTGGAAGGCAGAGTTTGACCCAAGGACACATCATATCCACGCACACACACAGAGCACAGCCTTGCAAAATCTGTGGCAAGTGCAGTAACTTAGCCCCAGTCTCTGTATTTGGGGAATAGTTGTGTTAGAGTGAAAAACTCCCTAACACTTCACCTGCTTGTCAAATCAAAGTGTTTGTCATACACAAGAGAGTTTTTGCAAGGCTGACACCAAATGCAGCTCAACACACACTTGCTGCAGCTTAGGATGTTACATGAGGGAGGGAGCCCTTCATTCTGCTTGGAAAGGCAACACAGGGAATTCCTGATCCTTTCAACTTTAAGGAGAATTGTTGCAACATCAAAAACTGAATGAAAATTCAGTTCATAGAGAACACAACTAAAATAAGAAAGTTTGGTACCTGAAAAGGAAACACACAGACCAAACATCCCACCAAGTGTTTGACATCTCGATTTCAATCGAGATATGTCGAGGAACAGTGAGTTACAATTGTTAGAGGCTTGTATTGTATTTCCAGTAATCGAGACACTGTTTGTGGTCATTTTTAGTGATGTGCAGCACATTTTAGCAGATGAAAAAGGAAGGACAGCACATGTGACATCTTTGGATTTGCCTCACCTGAGAGAGGATTTTTTGTATTTGTTTAATATTAGCTTGGCCCATTTGGGCTATGTGTCCTTTATTCAGGACAAGGTCTGCTTAGAGAAGGTGGAAGTACAAAACAAAACAGTTTAGAATAAACGTGGATTAGACCAGTTTAACTAAAAGAAAACGTTATTTTGAAAGGATTATTTCCATTACAAATTCCATGTTCCTTAAATTAATTTCTCAACAACTCTGGTTTGATGAGCACACCCTTTCTAGAAAGGAAACAGCACAGCAGCAGCTCTGCAGCAGGAAGGATAACTAAAGCACTGATGGGGGATTTAATAGAAATAAAAAATTGAGACTATGTGGAAATGGAAGAGCTATCCAGTTCCAGTGCAGAAAAACAGGATTCTGGGAAACCTACTATGAATATGAGTTTTTGCCAGCAGTGAGTGAAATGTCAGAGCTATTGCGGAGCATTTTTCATTAGATGAAGTCGTTCAGGATTGGGATCCCCCAAGCACTTCCATGACAGTAATCAAGCAGTATAATACAGGAACTTTCATTATTAAGCATTTTTAAATTGCTTACTGATCCCATGATCAGCATCCAGATCACCACCTTTAATCTCAAAAAAGATTCATTTTCTCCACTCATGATTCCAGTCCTGCCCTGTGATGGTTCTGGATGCCCAGTGCAAGCCCATACAATTCAAGCCCCTTCCAGATCACAAACAGGACAAAAATCAATGTTCACAAGAACTAAAAACGATTCATGTCACCATCTATTAACCCAGAGCCAGACAGAAGTGACAGAAGCAAAGCAAACAGAGAAAAGCAGATGGCAGAAGAGTCAGAGGGAGGAAGAAGGGACTGCATGCCATTAACCGTTACTTTTCCAGTCTTCTTTTTACGCTCACACTCTAGGCAAAGCTCTCAGAGAAATCTCTCCAGCTCATATTGCTCTTCATAAGCAAGGACAAGAAGACTGAGAAAAGGAGCATAATCATCAACATGGTGTGTTGGAACAAGAAGTGGCTGCTTGGGCTGGAATGGTCACAGGAAGAACAAGGGGACATTTTGCCACCCTCCCTCCCCACATGTTCAAACTCTGTAAAGCAAAGGCCAAACACGAAGGAATTGGAGAGTCAGCCATTTCTTGTGCAACTCATTACTATGAATAACACAATCTTAATTACAAGTTATTGTAGTCTTCAAGTGTTGAAAGTGCTGTGCAATGGCAGCATGGAGGAAGGGAGCATTGGCCACTCCAGCTCTGGGCTGCTCAGGGCTCTCCCCAGGTGTTTGCAGAGCTGACAGGTTTAAACTGTCCACACTTACATTTTGCTGAACATCACCTGTAAGCTGTTTTGTTTGCTTTCACATAGAGCAGCACACGTTATTTGGTGTATTTTGTTTTCTTACTACAGAAAACAGTTATGAAAGAGAAGCAGGACATATCTAAGCTTTATGCGGCTGGTTTGTAGAGGGTTGTGGGTGACCTGCCATGGACTGGTTAGAAAATTGATTTTCATCTTTAAATTTAGTTTGATCCCACTGCAGTTGAAGAAGAGCAGTGGGCAGAGAGAACACTAATTAACAAGGCCAGGTTGGATGGGGCTTGGAGCAACCTGATCTAGGAGAAGGTGTCCCCCATGGCAGGGGGATGGATGGGGATGAACTTTAAGGTCCTTCCCAACCCAAACCAGTCTGGGATTCATTCTTGATACAGAAGTGCTCAGCACTTGGTTTTACATGATACTCAGAAGAGGCAGTGCTACTTTTACACAGCAAAGTAATGGATTATCAGGTTAATCCTGTTTGTCCAAGGGACACTTGTAAGTGAACATTCAACACTCGAAGACAAGGGCTTTTTTGTACTGAAATCAACCCCACAACCCAGCAGCCCTCACACCAGCAGCAGTACCTGTGTCAGCAGTGACTATGACTGGCACAGGACCAACCTTGGTGCCTGAACAGGCAACACCTTGTGCCAAAATAACAAAAACCAAACCATTAGATAAATGGCCTGCAGTGTGCAGGAGTCCTGCTCCACTTGACAATAGCCCTTGTTAATACCAGGAGTCATTTCCGTTAAGAATTCTTTGATCAAATCCTGAGATTAGAGGAAACAGGACATCTACTCAGCAAAAACATGTCCTGAAAAACATACAGGAGCTCTTTGAGAGAACTGCCAAGACTCTTGAGATACTTCAGCTTTACAAGGCAGGGTTATGTCTTCTCCCAAGCAGGATTTATGTCAGTGCCATGAACAGCATTGGAGAAGCTGCTCCCAGGTCCAGTGAAAGTTGCCAGTTCCTGGCCCAGATGGTATTTGACAAAATGTCGAAGACTTTAAATGTCAGCTTTGCTCCACAACTGACCTCTGAAAGCTTCAGTGTTTGATCAAAGGCTCAATTAATTAATTAACTAATCTATTACTTCAGTGGACTTTGTATTGTGTCCCTGATGAGTCTCCATGTAATACTTTTAAGGCTGAATTTAAGAAATTCAGCTTGATCATAAGTCCTCTCCATGTATACCAAAGAGACTCTTGCCCACTGGGGACAGTGCTCACTGTAGCACCAAATTTTGGGGCTGTTGATGTGCTTTCAAAACTACTCACATCTAAATTACTTTACACAATTTTTAGACAAACCATTGCTTAACTAGAACAAGCCCAAATCAACATCCTAGGAGGTAAATCATGGGTAGCTACGTGTACTGCATGAAAAATGGAAAACAACTCGTGCAGCTTTCTCAAACAAAGCATAAAATGACCCTGCTGTCCAAAACAGCAACTAAAATATATTTGAGAATAAAAATGGTAATTTCTACGAGAAGAACCAGCTCCACAAGTGTTAAACCCCACCGGTATTCTGACCTCATCAAAAAACTGCTGAGTTTTACGCAGTATAAATTTTAATTCTGTCAGCTCCAAGAAGTTTCTCTTCAGAGCCTCCTGGTTGGTGTTGATTTCTTTAAGCTCATTTTCAATTTTCTCAAAGTTTGCCTGGAAGATGTGAAAAGGAGAAAGATAAAGGACTTAAAGCAATTCCATAATTAAGTGCTGATCAGTCTGTCAACACACAGAGGCAAGTGAGATGCTTCACATCCCCACCCAATTTGCATGGATTTACAGGTGCATCTCCAGCCTGCAGGAGCACAGATCCAGATCTGCCACAACTGCAGACTTTGCACACTCAGCCAGACTTTTATGGACTGGATTGATAGAGTTTCTTCAAATCAATAAAATTGTGATAAACTTTATGATCCACCACCATAAATCATGAGGTTCCAGCAGTTTTTGGCTCATTTCAGTGGTGAAATTCCTACTGAGTACTCTCACTTCAGTATTTGGACAAACACTGCCAGCCCAATACGAACTGGCAGAGCTGCTTCCAGGGACAGCTGGAGACTGAGCTAATGCCCCCCTGCCACTAAATTCTGCAAGAATCAACCAACAGAGACAATTTTCCCGGTTTCCATCCAAAGTCAAATACTAGTTTAAGTCTTAACACATCATTACCTCCAGGTCAATCATGTCACGTGGAAAAGGCACCTCTGGGTTTTCACCAGTGTCCATGATAGGAATATTTGCCTTTTTAATCTCCTTCTCCACAAAGCCTGCCAAGACAGCATTACAAGTGTTAATTACAGACATTTCAGTGTCAAACAGTTAATCTAACCTGCACCTGGCCCCAGCAGCTGATGATTCCTTCACCTCCTATTCCAAGATTGCCTGACTTGGCCAGAGTTATTTTTCTAGGGGGATAGGAGGAGGTGAATCCCTGGAGGCAGCGAGCCCTGCCTGTGCCCTCACCCCTCTGCTCTGTTCCAAATGCTGTCCCGCAGCTTCAGCGTGCCTTGACTGGGTTTTTTTTTTTAAGCAAAAGCTGCAGAGACAGAGCAACATCAACCCCAGTGGGAACGTACGGAGCTTTCGGTCCATCTCCTCGCACCGCCGGACTTCATTGACGAATTTGCGGTGGAACACGTTCACGTCGGGGTTCAGCTGCAGGGAGAGACACGGGACTCAGCAAAGCCCCGCTGCGGCTGGGCCCCACCGCGGCGGGCACGGGCCCGGGGCCGGGCGGGGCTCCCGGTGCCGAGGGGCTCCCGGTGCCGCGGGGTGCTGAGGGGACACTCACGTCGCGGAACTGGACCTTGCCCAGCTCGCCCAGCTCGCTGACACAGCAGTACGCGGCCTCGGACTGCAGGAAGAGCTGGGCCAGGGTCATCTCCTCGCTGCGGAACAGCTCCCCCATGGCGGCGCCGCTCCCGCCGCGGCCTCTGCGGAGAAGGGCCGTGAGAACCGGGAGGGGGGCAGGGACCGAGGCCTTCCCGCCTCCGCCGCCCCGTCACAGCTCGGCTGCACTCGGACGCCACCGCAGCCCGGCTCGGCGCGGCGTCCCCACCCCATCCCGTGCCGTCCCCATCACATCCAGCCCCGTTCCCTTCCGTTCCCTTCCGCTCCCCTCCCCTCCATTACCTGCCGCCGCCGCTGCCGCCGCCTGACCCGAGCCGGCTCCCGTCCGCGGCGTCACCGTCCGCGCGGGGCGGTGTCACGCGCACGTCTCCTGGCGACCGCGCGTGGCCCCGCCCCGGAAGTGATGCTAACCCCGCGCGCACGGCGGTCGGTGACGTCACGAGCTGTGTGGTGACGGAGACGTGACGTCACTGCGAGCGTGTCGCGGGCTCGAGGGCGAGGCCTGTCCCCGGCAGCCCGGCCCGGTGTCGATGCGGCCCCGTGTACGGCCCGGGGCAGGGACATGCACAGTGTGAGCCAGGAGCAGCCCAGAGACAGCCGCTGTTCCCACTGGCAGAGACCGGCTCCAGACTGAGGCTCCAGAGGGGAGGCTGCAAATTCCCAGCCATTCCTGGTGCTCCTGGTGTGTCCCCGCAGCAGAAAAGGCACTGAACTGAAGTTAATCCAGACATAGAAAACGATTCCAGGAATTTTAATGGACATTCCAGGACAATTGGTGTGGGCACAGAGGCACCGAGTGGGGCACTCCAGCTCAGTGAGTCCCAGGAGCAGATTTGCATCGCTGTCCTGTTGGTTTATCTGGTTCTATCCAGACTGACCTGCTCAGGCAGATTTTTTTTTTTTATTCTTCCCAAATGAACATCCAAAGGCACAGAGATGCATTGGAGTCACACGCAGAATGGATGTCAAAGACTTTATCAGCTTTGCTCCACAACTTATCTCTGAAAGCTTCAGGGTTTGATCAAATGCTCAGTTAATTAATTAATTAATTAATCTATTAATTCGGTGGAATTTGTATTATGTATTAAAATACAGATGAGTCTCCACATAACACTTGAAAGGCTGAATTCAGAATTTCTGAAGAGAAATACAAGGAGCTCTGCTCTGCATGTATCCTGTCCTATACCTGAATCCCTACACATTTGTCTGTGGAAGCCCACCCGGAGCAGGTGACCCCAGGGACAAACAGCTCTGGGGCTTTGGACTGGCTGCCTACAGTGAGGGGTTTTTTTTTATGGAACTCTTTTATGTCTTTTATGGAACAGCAGCAGCAAACACTGGAAATAAATGCTCTGATAAAAGGTCCCTCCAGGAAAGAACAGTGTACAGAAAGCAGCCTGTTTTCACTACGTGAGATAATGGCTATTGTGGGGGACACAGGGTACAATTCTGTGATCCCAGAGCCACCAGGCCCAGGTCAGTGGGGACAGTGAGCAGTCACGGGGCAGGGAAAGTGCTGACTGCTGTGAGCATTGTGAATGAACAATCCCTCTGAATCTGTGGGATGTCTGGGTTCCCCAGGGTGTAGCTGGGATGGATCATCTCCCCCAGTCTGCCCTGAGCCAGCTGGGCTGGGAGGAGCCCGGGGCTCTCCCTGGCATTTGCCAGCCAGTGGCAAAGGCTGAGAGCAGACTCGGTCTGGCAAGAGGTGCTGAGGTTAAATAACTCTTGTCAAAGCTCTAGAATGAGGGAAGCTGCCACCTTCCCAAGTGGCAGCTCTGTCCATGGGCACTTGGTTCCCTCTGGCTGAGCCAACCCCACAAACAGTGAAGGGTCTGGCCCACGGTCACTCCCAAGATCTGAATTTTCCTTCTCCACATTCCTGGCATGTTCCAGCTGGGTTGTTGATAAGTCTGTGGTGGCGCCTCCCATGTTTTGAATCATTTGGGGGCTTTTACCACTAAATGCACAAGTAACCCACTGAATTTGGGCTTTGTTTACAAGCAGTGTACGCTGCAGCGTGTCCCACATTTAAAGTCTGGTGACTGGATCTGTAGAAGGCTCAAGGATTGCAGAGCTAGGTGAGCTCTTTTAGGGGGGGTGCCCAGCTGCCTCACCTCAGGAGCGAATTGTCCATCTCTGTGTTAAATTTGTGTGGAAAAGTATTGCACCCTGCGTGTACTGTGTGTGCCTCTTGTACATTCACATACATGGCAGGGGGCATTGCTAAGATACAGACATTTTCATGCTGTAACTGCTGAATTCAAATGTAGCATTTCTTTAAAATACTGAAAATCAGGTTCTCGTAGTCCTGGAAAAAAAAAAACCCAGACCTAAGTATTGGCAAAAGGTCTGAACTTCCAGCTGAACTTCAGCATGTGCTGTTGTTTAAACCAGCCTTCAGTGCACACAGCTGTGCCCAGATGGGGCTGCTTGCTTCCCACTCTCTTCCCAGCAGCTTCCCGAGCCGTTTACTAACTAAAGGATTTTGTTTTTTCCTCCTGCTACTTCAGTGCCTTTAGACTGAGGGTAAAGAAGGGGCAGCTGCAGTTCCAGAGCTTTGCATTCCTGGCCGAGCCGTGCTTGTGTTTGCATGCAGAGCCATCGCCTTCCCTCCAACTATTTTAATCATTTCAAAAGGGTGGGTCAGCAGGCATTTGGCAGCGGCTCCTTTTCTATAGCTGAGGTGGAGTCAGCCAATGACCTGCAAGCCTGGAAAATTTTGCAGGGCAGTTCCACTGGACGGCTGTGCGGAGCTGTGCCATTTGAATTTCAGCACAGACACTCACTCACTGCGCTCCCCATTCCTGGCGTGTCTCCCAGTGCGGAGTTTAGCTGAGGCTCGGGCTCAGTTTTCCCTGCTCTCTCCCGGCAGTGACAGCTTCTCCGGGCTCCGTGAGCCAGGACTCCCGAGCCACCATGGAGGACACCACCTTGCAAATCATCGAGCCACCCACTGTTTCTGAGACCTCGGAGGAGCAAGCGCCCGAGGAGCCCATCAAATCCGACCAGATCAACGGTGTGATGGTGCTGACCCTTCTGGACAAGATCATCGGAGCAGTGGATCAGATCCAGCTGACCCAAACACAGCTGGAGGAGAGACAGCAAGAGATGGATAGCGCAGTGACCAGCATCCAGGGAGAGCTGACCAAGCTGACCAAGGCACACACCACCACCAGCAACACTGTCAACAAAATGCTGGAGAAGGTGCGCAAGGTGAGCGTCAACGTGAAAACAGTGCGGCAGAACCTGGAGAAGCAAGCTGGGCAGATCAAGAAGCTGGAGGCCAATGAAGCCGAGCTCCTGAAACGCAGAAACTTCAAAGTCATGATCTATCAGGTAAGGAGCTGTTTCACTATGTCTTTACATCCTGTTAGTGGGTGTTTTCTCTGCTGAGGGTCCTGTCACGCTGCATGTTCCGCCCAACCCTCTCCCAAACTCCCCAGATTGTCTGGCAATCCAAATTGAGGCGGGTCCCCTGTCACTCTCATTTGTGGTTTAACATTTTCTGTGTGTCCTAAGACAAAGTTTGACAGAATTGTCCCATTTAACAGGAATTTTAAGGCAGATAGGGAACAAGGCCCTAAGAACTCACTGCAATGGGCCAGAAGTATCAAAATAACCCGATTTTACTGCTTAGCTCAACGAAAAGCAATAGTGCTCTGCAATCTGGCAGGGGGTGTTGTAAATCCAGCTGCCAACGTCTCTTCTACAAAGAGACACCATGTGTATGGCTACGTGGAGACCGATAATATTTCAGATTTGTGACATGCATCTGGTAACAAGTGATAGTAACCCCAGGCTCAGGGTTACTCTGTCCAGCCAGGGCAAATAGAACTGTCAGAGAAAATCCAGCCCCCTGAGCTTGGCAGTGCTCTGGGGTGGTCTTTGCCGAGGGTTTATACAATTCCCATCTTCTTTCTTCTGCATCCTGCAAGCCTTGAACCTCCTTGTTGTTTGGTCTCAATAATAGCTTTAGTTTGCTTAATAATCATCCCCTGCACTAAGCGTTGGAGTTTTCACTTAAACAAGGAGAGAGAGAGGAACGTGATTCTGTCAGGTTTCCTGCCTGGAGTTAGTTTTCCGCAGCAGAGCAAACTCTTCTATTGGGCCAGAAAAGCAAGTTAAACAGTTAATGCTGCAGTTGAAAGCCTCTGGGTTAATAATAGCCAGCACTCAAATGGAGAAGCTTCGACGGCTGATCATGTGAAGAGAGAGAAGAAAAGCAGACTAAAAGGGAGAATGGCCCATACTGTGAGGTTTGAGGGCAAGTGGCTCATGACAAGCCGGACACTGCGGGACTCCTTGGTTCAGAGCTTGAGCATTTGTTGTTTTATCACGGCTGAAAGGCTGAGATACTTGAGCCGGTTCAGATCATACAGGAAACACAACCAGTTGTAGACAGATATATGTGCATGGATTTATTACAAGCTTTTTGTATCTATTTATCCATGGAAAAAATAAAATAGAAGCAACAACCACCGCAAAGTGAGAGGAGTGAAGGGAATTGTTTAAACATAACATTCCATGTCAGTTACAGAAATAGGTAGGAAGTTGGCAAGGTTCAAGGTCCTTGGGAAGCATCCCAAACATCTGCAGGTTAGTGTTTCATGAGCAATTTGTGTTGATTTGCTGTGGCTTATTGATATTGAGTGGAGTTTCTTTTTTAATATGAAAAAGCAATCCTGCTTCTAAAGGCTTGGGGCCTTTCTTTGCTGCTGTGGTGAGGACGGAGCAGCCTTGGAAAGAGTCGTTTGGCCAGGGGCTGTGCCAGGGACTTGAGGAATCATGGAGGTATTAGGGGAGGAAATTATTTGGGATTTGGGATAATTTCCCAGCATGGATTTTAGTGTGATTTGAATGCCACAGAGCACAGGTAAGGAATTCTCCAGGTTTGCAGCATGTGAAATGGAGCTGTTTGTGCCCTCATGGACATGCTGGTACTTCCATGGGAGCCGGAGCAGACCCGGCCCCAGTGGGAAACATCCAGTGCTGGGGTCCACCCTGGGGGTTAACTGAGGAATTCACTGTGCTTTCCTAACGGTGTCTACACTTAAAAACAAATAATTACAAAATAACTCTAATTCAGTGTCTCACATCTCCGACCCCCCCACTACCAAAATGTGTGTTGGGTACGTTACTGATCATGTAATTAATTCTGCGGTGCTGAGCACATTATCTCTCATCTCTGACTCAGAAAAAGCTACTTTCCCAAGCTGGGAGTGAATCCTGTGTGTTTTCAGTTGCTGTGGAAAAAAGTCCAAAGATTTATTAGTCTTTTATTTTGGAGAACAAGAGATAAACTTATCCTAAGAGAT